TTACACCAGACAGTCAAACAGGATGGGCTTGTGTATTCAGCCTATTCTCCCTAGTTCCCCCAAGTGCTGTTGTCCAATCCAGTGATTACATTTCAAGTGTCCTATTTAAGTGTCCTGACTTCATATTAGCTCGGGTAACCCAAACGTTCCCGTGTATCAAGTATTACAAGGTAGGATTTGGCCCATCAAGCGTCATTTTAATCCTTTCCAATTATCTTCAATTGTCTGGATAACCATCAACACTAGAGTAATTATAAACTATGCCATCTCCTTGGTTACCAACCATAATCAAAACCTTCCATGGCTGTTTGGTTGAAAATTCATCGTCAGAAAAATGAATATTGTGGTAATAAGAGAGGTAAGGATGTCTGTGTTTATAAAGTATCTGAAGATGCCTTCTGATCCTCAACTAAAATTATTAAGTGGCACGGGCGGACTGCATATGTCACGATCGTCTTCCAAATGAGTAGACCAAAGCGCAGCGCGTTGAGCGAACATGACTTTATTAATTCAAAGTCTGGAACAAAACAACAAAACAAGAACGATTCGTGAAGTCCTCTGCAATACTGACAGAACATGGAACAAAAACCCACAACACCCAAAGGAAAACATACAGATTAAATATGGCTCCCAATCAGAGATAACGAGCCGACAGCTGACACTCGTTACCTCCGATTGGGAGTCACATGACTACACAAGAACTAACCAAAACCACACACACCCAAATGAACACACCCTATTCCCAACCTAACCAAAACAAACCCCAACAAAACGAATACACCCTGGCTCAAATACAAGTCCCGGAGCCAGAGTGTGACAGTACCCCCCCCTAAAGGCGCGGACTGCGACCGCGCCTCAACTAGGGCTAACCAAGGGAGGGCTGGGTGGGCATACCTCTTCGGCGGTGGTTCTGGCTCTGGTCGTGGTCCCCACCCCACCATAGTCACTACCCGCTTCCGTAGCCTCCTCCAACTGACCACCCTCCAACTTAACCCACCCGGATTAAGGGGCAGCACCGGACTAAGAGGCAGCACCGGACTAAGGGGCAGCACCGGACTAAGGGGCAGCACCGGACTGAATGGCGGATCCTGGCTGGCTGGCGGATCCTGGCTGGCTGGCGGATCCCGGCTGGACGGCTCTGGCGGATCCCGGCTGGACGGCTCTGGCGGATCCCGGCTGGACGGCTCTGGCGGATCCCGGCTGGACGGCTCTGGCGGATCCCGGCTGGACGGCTCTGGCGGATCCCGGCTGGACGGCTCTGGCGGATCCCGGCTGGACGGCTCATGGCTGGCTGACGGATCTGGCTGCTCATGGCTGGCTGACGGATCTGGCTGCTCATGGCTGGCTGACGGATCTGGCTGCTCATGGCTGGCTGACGGATCTGGCTGCTCATGGCTGGCTGACGGATCTGGCTGCTCATGGCTGGCTGACGGATCTGGCTGCTCATGGCTGGCGGAAGGCTCTGGCTGCTCCTGTCTGGCGGAAGGCTCTGGCTGCTCCTGTCTGGCGGAAGGCTCTGGCTGCTCCTGTCTGGCGGAAGGCTTCGGCTGCTCCTGTCTGGCGGAAGGCTCTAGCGGCTCCGGTCTGGCGGACGGCTCTGAAGGCTCATGGCAGACGAGCGGCTTAGACGGCGTTGGGCAGACGGGCAGTTCAGGCGCCGTTGGGCAGACGGCAGACTCTGGCCGGCCGAGACGCACTATAGGCCTGGTGCGTGGTGCCGGAACTGGTGGTCCCGGGTTGAGGACACGCATCTCAGGGCTAGTGCGGGGAGAAGGAACAGGGCATGCTGGACCCTGGGGACGCACATAAGGCCTAGTGCGTGGTGCCGGAACTGGTGGTCCCGGGCTGAGGACACGCATCTCAGGGCTAGTGCGGGGAGTAGCAACAGGGCATGCTGGACCCTGGGGACGCACATAAGGCCTAGTGCGTGGTGCCGGAACTGGTGGTCCCGGGCTGAGGACACGCATCTCAGGGCTAGTGCGGGGAGTAGCAACAGGGCATGCTGGACCCTGGGGACGCACATAAGGCCTAGTGCGTGGTGCCGGAACTGGTGGTCCCGGGCTGAGGACACGCATCTCAGGGCTAGTGCGGGGAGCAGCAACAGGACGCACAGGACTCTGGGGACACACAGGAGGCTTGGTGCGTGGTGTAGGCACTGGTGGTACTGGGCTGGAGCGGGGAGGTGGCGCCGGAAATACCGGACCGTGCAGGCGTACTGGCTCCCTTGAGCACTGAGCCTGCCCAACCTTACCTGGTTGTATACTCCCCGTCGCCCGACCAGTACGGGAAGGAGGAATAACCCGCACCGGGCTATGTAGGCGAACCGGGGACACCCTGCGTAAGGCTGGTGCCATGTAAGCCGGCCCGAGGAGACGCACTGGTGGCCTGATGCGTTGGGCCGGCTTCATGACATCCGGCTCAACGCTCAATCTAGCCCGGCCGATACGTGGAGCTGGAATGTACCGAACCGGGCTATGCACGCGTACAGGAGACACCATGCGCTCTACTGCGTAACACGGTGTCTGCCCGTACTCTCGCTCACCACGGTAAGTACAGGGAGTAGGCGCTGGTCTCCTACCTGACCTCGCCACACTCCCTTTAAGGCCCCCCCCAAGAAATTTTTGGCTAGTGCTCACGGGCTTCCAGCCTTGCCTCCGTGCTGCCTCCTCTCGGCTTTAGCTGCCTCCAGCTCTTCACGAGGACGGCGATATTCTCCCGGTTGTGCCCAAGGACCCTTTCCATCCAGTATCTCCTCCCATGTCCATGAATCCTTTGTAGGTGGATCCATATAGGACAATTCTGGCAAATGCCAGATGGGTTAGTCCATCTTTAGCCCAGTGGGCCTGTATAAATATATATATATTTTTATTAATGGTATCATTATTTGGCTAGTAATGGGGGCCTCAAGGGCAAAATGGGCCGGTGTTAGAAATGCACAGGACGATTTCTGATCCCAGTCCGTCCATGTTTTTATTTTACTTTTACCAGTTAAGAACAAATTCTTATTTACAATGATGAAGGCCTACACCGGCCAAACCCGGACGATGCTGGGCCAATTGTGCGCCGCCCTATGGGACTCCCAATCACGGCCAGTTGTGATACAGCCTGGAATTGAACCAGGGGGTCTGTAGTGACGCCTCAAGCACTGAGATGCAGTGCCTTAGACCACTGCGCCACTCGGAGGATTCACTTGGTTGTCTTCACAGTTCTAGAATTTCTACAATGATCTGTACACATTGAGATTGGGGTTTGTCCTCAGGGCGAGGTAATACTTTTTAATTGTTGAAATCTCTAGGGATGCACAGTTGCTTGCTGAGCCAATTTAAATCCCAGCGGGCAATTACACAAAAGACACTGTAATGCTTGTAGGGGTTTGGTAACTTAAACATTGAGAACATTGAGAAGCAAGACTGGTTCTAATGTCTTGACTTACCTTGATCAAGCTCCTCATATTCATCACCCCAGACTTTCATCTTGTTTCATGTCTCAGAACATCGATTTGGATAGAGGCTGGGGTTGTTAACGTTCAGCTCTCCCTCCCTATCTGCTATAGATTAAATCATAGTATTTTCCCACATGGAGGAGGGACGCTACAGTGGCCTGGGTGCAGGGGATTCTGGGCTGGCCATGATAAGGGCTTAGGGGCTTTGAAGGCAGCTCTACACTGAGATCAAGGTGGGCCACACAGACCACAACAGAAGTTTTCAGACCCCTAGAAATCCCTATAGAGTTTTACTCCTGAGATAAGCTATCGTCCTTACCAGAATGGCATGGCATGGCACTTGAAGGGTCACACAAGCCTAGAAAATAGCTGTCATGAAAAAGTTGTGGTTGATAACTGATTACTGTATAATGGATTAGGTTAAATCAATTTTGAATGGAACGGTCTGTTTGGAATATCAGCAATGTCCCCAATATACAGCCTTCAACATCAAGACTTTTGCCCCCCCCCCCACCCACCCACACACACGCTTTTACCATTCATGATGTTGTAGGCTGTAAGGGGTTTGATGCTAACAAGAGCCTGTCCTTCTGGGAAGGCCCTGCCTGCCACTCTTCATCCACACCATTATCATAAATTTGACATTTCACAGATAATATTGATTACTTTATCTTAGCATTTCAGCCTGCATGACAGGCCGGTGCAGAGAGCAGAGTTTATATTGATCTCTAGCCTATTAAACCCTCTTGTGAGTATAATCGTTGTTATAAGACCTTTTACTGGCTATAGAATCAATGGTTCACATTTCCAGACAGGACAGAAGAGATGTCATATTTGAGAAGAGGCAGTTTTCATCTGTATGCCCTCCCCCAATGTGCAATAGGCATTTTCTATCAATATCCTGGAAGAGCGACTGCACATATAGGGAGCTGAAATCAGATGTATATAATGCTATTTAGTTCTTCTGTGAAATGTTTAGTTCAGGACACAATGTGTTTACTTGCACGCCAACACTGAAAAACATTGGCTTGTGTGCGTGTTTCATTAATGCCAATCGTATCCTGAGGGTTTGGTTTGGAAATGTCACGCAAACTATTATATAACAGGTCAAATCACACACTCCAGCAATTTGTTCATACCGTCCATAACGCGAGTCTTATTTAATCTTTCTTGGCTCAGATGGTAGCGCATGGCACTTGTAACGCCAGGGTAATGGATTCGATTCCCGGGACCACCCATATGTAAAATGTATGCACGCATGACTGTAAGTCGCTTTGGATAAAAAGTGTCTGATAAATGGCATATATTGTCAAACCGTTGTCGGTTTTATAATATATGCCATTTACCAGACGCTTTTAAACAATAACATTGTTATTTGATTGAAATTATGGTTCATGATAAATCCATGTGTAATAACAGAGCACGTAGCAATAGTCAATCTTCAACTCAATCTCTACTGAGGAGAATGACCCTTTCCTCGTATTGTTGTTGCCGGAGAAATCACACTTCGTAGAAAAATAGGCTATAACATTCACTTTACTGGAGAGGAAACAGTGTAGGAGAAATGTTATTTATTTGAGAATTTATGTTGGGAATAGTTAACATTTTACATTAGGTCTGGTTATGTATCCTCTGACCATATGATGACAAATATTTGAATCACATCTGTTACACTAGTCCATAATCAATCAATGATTGTCAGACAAATCTGTGGACAAGAAAAATGTGAAACTATTTAGTAGGCTACTATTTAACAACATATTTCCCGTTATCGTGTTTGATGATTTATGACGATATTTCAGCAACTAAAATAAAGTCAGAAATCCTTATAAATTGCCATCATAAATAATGTTTCATTTAAATGTGTAATAAACGGCATGAATTTTATTTTGCATGGAAAAATCTGACATTGTAAGCCCCCGACCAAATAAAATGACGAACACATTTACAAACGTTAGATTATTTAGCAGTATACGTTATTAATTCAAATGCAATAGTACCACAGTCCAGGTGTGACAAGACAATAAATATCCCTACATAAAACATCTCCCATAAATTATTTGATAAAAAATCAATCTGTATACGTTCAGGCATATATGTTCCATATACATTATCCAGTGTCAACATACAACAACATAGTTATCGAAAAAAGTTAGTTATCAAATTAATATACTCACAATTCAAAGCAAGACCAAATAGTTGAAGACATCCATGTTCTTCAGAAGTCGACGATATTGTGATATTGTCTAACTCTTTATTCTGTTTAAATTAAATACATCTTAAATGTTGTGTTGTCTCTTTTTTTCGTCTGGCAATGCAGACATGTAGGCCTATAAACATGATCAAGTGCTCTTATGAAGAGGTAGGTACAAAAACAGTGAAAAACAAATGGAGAGAAAATGCATAATGCGTGATATAGGGAACTCAAAAATGGCCATATTAACCTCGCCTAACCTCGCATATCTGACATGGCACCTAAAAGGGCAAAGTATCGAGGAAAAGCTTGTCTATTATCGCAGGTGGCGGGACCAAGTCTTCCAGTTTCAAGTAGAATATCCTCTGCAGACCTTGTGTACAAAGCGTGCGAAGTTCAGGCAGCTTTCCCAAGAGTTTTGACAAGTGATTTGGTCGACTGACACTTCCATCGTTAAAAGTCACTTTGTCTTTCAAACAGTTCACCATCTTGTTCTGAAGTTCCTCTACTTTCCTGGGCTCCTTCAGCCCATGTCTCTCTGTAACAATGACAGGGTGCAATTCGTTTCAAAACGTAACCCAATGGCATTAGGCGCATACATTCAGAACATATGGTTTTATTAACCTACCTGTTACTGTGGCAAGGGCGCATATGCAGGAGAATGTTGCAACGTCTATATTCATGCTTTGAAGGTTTGCAGAGAACTCCACTATGGTGTCAATCCACTCTCCAAAGCCGCGCCTACACTGAAGCCTATGCAAAACCAATCCGTTGCAGAAAATGAGCTTCCCTTCCTCAGGGTTGGACCTGTAATATGATAGCATCGCATGATTAGGATTCGGATACCGACTTGGCAATAAGATCAAATGGATACGCGTGTAATTGTTGTGCGTAAAATGACAATTTATGTTGGTGCACTTTTTGATATGCTATTGTATAAGATACCTGTAAGCCAAACGCAGAACGAAGAGTTCCAGGAAGGCTGATTCGAAAAGGAGATCTTGGTCCGGTCTCGGCAGATCGGTAAAACCTGGGATCTTTTGCGCCCAATCGCGGATAATCTCCATGGAGACGGTCAGGACGTCGTAGAACTGCTGTACGTGTTGCGTGTCATCTCCGGTGATTTGGCTGTCATGATTATTCTGGAACTAGAAGGTGATGTTAAGTTGAACTCAATGCTCAACAGTGTATTTTATGACTTATTTTATTAATGAACTAGTGCGTAAAGTGATGGGGATTGCATGACCGAGGCTCGTACTTACTCGGGAGTAGTCCAGTCGAGACAAGGACGGGTTGGAGTCCACATGGGCCCTCACTAGCGCGCTAAGGATGCTGACAGGTGGCAAAGGGTCTTGAATTTTATGTTTGGAGGGTAACCGGCCCCGTCGACCCTTTAAACTGGCAGTCCTGACGACTGAATAATGAAGAATATAAATTAAGTTGTTTTGTTTAATAATTACTATTATGCTTTGAAAAACATATCGTACTACACGCTTTCTGCTTAAAAATAATGTGCAAATACATTTAAAGGAGATGCGTAAAGTTGTGCGTTATAAGAAGTAAAACAAACCTTACCTTCTTTGACCATTCCCATTACAAGGCACTTTTGGAAACGGCAGTATTGGCACCTGTTTCTCCGGCGTTTGTCAACTGCACAGTTTTTCCCAGCTAAACACACATACTTGGCATTTTTCTGGACAGTGCGCTGCGAAGAAACACAGAGGAGGACACATTAATTGCCATTTGATGCGTTGCCACCTGAAGCTTTGATACATTGAACAAAGATGGCCATTAAAATACTTTTGCCACGGATATTGACAATGGGAAATGAATAGCCATGGCGTTGCAGTCTGCCCCATTCTCTCCCAGCTGCGTAATGCATCATAGCAGCGGACGAGGCAGACAGTGGGTAAATATAGTTCCGTGGCCACTCATAATATGAAGTTCCCTGGGGACCCTCTACCCTCTCCCAGTCCTCTATTGGCAAGGCAAGGAGATGAAGGTTCTTGATTTTGAAGGGATTTTAATTAGTTGCCATGACGAAGAGGTTTCCAGATTAAGCATTGTATCAGGAGCCAACAAACAACCCAATGAATCAGTAGCCTAAATATTACAATACATTTATAAGGCATGTTAGTTGACCGTTAGTTCTAAATGTATAACAATCCCCGCAGATATTTCATGAAACACACCTTGAAGAATCCCTTACAGCCCTCGCAGGTGCGCACGCCGTAGTGCTGACAGGCTGCACTGTCCCCACACACGGCGCATAAAGCATCCGTGTTGGTGGGTGATCCTTGGCTAGGAGGTGACGGTGCTTGGTTATCCATATAGTGATGTCCGTGACCGAGCTGGAACGAATAGGGGGAACCCACCCTGTGCTGTTTCCTTAGGGCGCTGGAACCAAAGATGCTCTGGCTCTCCAAGCCATGATACCTGCCTGAGGTATCCGGGTTCACAGACACCTGGAGGGACCCATCAAATCTCATCTGGCACGTCGACAAAGGACTACCGTTTTGGGGATGCTTGAAAGAAAACAAGGAGAATCTGGATATGGCATTTTTCCGCTGGTCCATCCTGTGCGCCACCGCCAAGTAGTCCTGGTGAAAACTGTACAGAGATCCAGAATCATCCCACGAGTGGCTGGGTGGACTCTGGAAGGTCTGTGTGTGTGGAGAGGGGGGTTTGTAGTAAACAGACCCAGGGGGAGTGACCATCTCATCGGACTGATGCGGCTGGTGGTGGTGACTCTGCTGGTGGTACATGGGGATGTCCTCAACTTTGATGCATGACTGCTCCCCCGGATGGGGCATTTGGAATAGACAAGGGGGCTTGACGTCATAGCTGGAATTGTTACAGTAGCTGTCCACGAAAGCACCGACATTTGGAAGATTGGTGGTATTGGCTGATGTGATTTCTGTGTTGGTCAGGTCCATGCTAAACTTGACAAACTCGGGCGTTAGGAAGTCACAGTTGTGGCTGTGGTGCTCTCCAGCGGCGTGGAAGCTGCTTGCGCTCTGCTGCGAAGCGGGACTGGCTCCTTGAGGTGACGATCCGTACTGAGCCTGGACGCACGGCATAGCTGCTACAATGAGAGAGGGAGACATATGCTTATATCAATCGATCTCCTTGTCAAGCCAAATCCCATCCAATGCAGATGCATCGCATGAAAATTAGAATGCTTGCGTAAAAGCGCACGAGACGTATATGATTAACCTATACCGTCACCACTCTCTAGAACAAGTGCCAACAGCAAAAGCATTGCATATAATAGGCGCAACGTCTCCAACATTATTTGTAGTCTTACCTTCAGTTGTATGACTCTTTTCAAAGACAAAATGTCTGAATCACTTTCTGGAGTTATGATAATATCCACTCGATTTTGCTCCCTGCTAAAAAAAAAATCGAACAAATCTGTCACAAAATTACAAACCTGTAAAGATATTAATTTATAAGCAGGTCATTACTTTCTGATAACATTAATGTTAGAATGTATATTTCGTTTTCAACAGTATAAGACAATTAAACCAATACCTTAAAGTGTCACCCGGTGCACCATTAGAGGATTACATATTCTCCGCTGTATCCATATCCAATTGCAAATGCAGTATTGTGAAGAGAACGGGGCAGATGGCCATGCACCTCTCCAACTGGCTACTAGACTGGCCGCGGGTGACACAGACAATGTGCCTTTGTTTATGTGGCTCGGAGTCGGAATACCGCTGCCCACGTGCCAATGACACTGAACGTCATCGAGCATTACGCGCACCAATCCCTTCCAAGGATGGATGTTTCAGATACAACTGTAAACGCATGATAGAGTACAGAATATAATACAATATAATGTAAAACATTTTTTAGACATCATCATACAAGAATGATAAAAAAACATCACATAATAATACACATTAACGCATATGTTTGGCGATATGCCTAAAGAAGGCATTGCAGGCAAAAAAATTACAATCTCACCTCAATTCACAACTAACTTAATGATATGCATAGTTGCATTTACAGTGTCCTACGCCTAAATATAGTGGTATGTAAAAAGATACTAAACAACAATCATGTAAAATCATGACTACGGCTGGTGACACTAGTTGCACAATAGTGACCCCGCACTATTGAGGATGGGGATTCCAGAGGAAAAGTGGTGCACCAACCTCATTGTTATAGCAACACCCTCTTAAACATGATTGGATAATCGTGTCATCCCATTGGTTTACCCATATGTCAGTCAACTAATCTCTGCTTCCTGGTTCTCCTGGCTGTCAAAGAAGAGTTGTATCACCGTTCTCAGTTTACGCCCTGGCGCTGTTATCATCAATTAAACATATAAATCAGTAAGTGAACGATTTAGATACATATTTTGTGCCTTTTCCTTATTGTTCTATTGATAATATGAAAAGTTAAACGACTGGCAGCGAGCCAGACAATATCATGCGGAACGTCAATGCGACATTGTATCCATTGCTAGAACCCTCTCTCCACTGCGCCTTCATAAACGTTTTCTGTTCTACGATAATGATACGGATTTCAGTTTTATTTTACACCGTTGTATAGAATAGAAACAGTGTGAAATAGAGTTATAATTTATTCCTGTTGCCTTTGCATTGGATAGCCAGTATCACCGAAATGGGGATGGATTTACATATTGTTTTTCATAATGCAATGTTTAAGAATTGGAAAAAAAATGCTTAGTTAGTTTGGCCTCTAAATTGACATTGTCGTGTTTGTGTAACCTTCATTTGAGTTGATGTCACTGTTATTATATGTGTATTTGTTTCCACTAACTATAAGTCTCAAGCTAAGATTGTGTCTTAGAGTGATTTACTGTATCTAATGTGGATGGTGGCGTCTGTCTCTCGCGTAATCATATCTCTTCCTCATGAGGTTCTCTGTGTCATTTCTTCATTTTTTGTCATTCAGTTGAAGAAACGGCTGCTCCCATGTGGATTTTGGTCCTGGTGTGTTGGGTGGAGATGCGTGTAGCCATGTGGGCTATGGTCCTGGTGTGTTGGGTGGAGATGCGTGTAGCCATGTGGGCTATGGCCCTGGTGTGTTGGGTGGAGATGCGTGTAGCCATGTGGGCTATGGCCCTGGTGTGTTATGTTGGAGATGTGTCACCAGGAAGTAATGCCATTCTGAAACCAATCATTGACTTGTCTCTCTGCATGGACTGGGCTATAAGACCCCTCCCCATTCATCAGCCATTGTAGTATAGAGCAAATGAGGGTTAAATTCCTTGTTTAACCTTTCTGTTACTGGGCCAACGCTCTAACCAGTAGGCTACCTGCCTCACTCTAACACATTCACTGGATCAACAAGATGGTGTCATACTCATGCTACATAAACTTTTTTTATTTTCTTATAATCATATATTTTATTTTATGATCCCTCTGATAAACACATAATACACAGGTAATAAACACATCATGCAGCTTTAATGTCTCATCCAAAAGGATTTCCCTGTCTACATTCATGACAGATAAGAAAATGACATATGAAAATGTTTATTCTCATAGTCATCCTATGAGGGAAATCATTACCTCTGGCCTAGCGAAACAAGAGCTGCTGGTGTGCATGCATAAACCACTCTGATGTTTGCTCCGTTAAAGATTAGAATAGATTGAAAATGATGTGTCTTCAAGCAGATTGTCAGAGCACCTGGCCCTAGCCGATTGGCTCTTTGCCCTCGGGTCACGCCCTCTCCACATGATCACCTGTCATGTCATTGCAATATAACCCAGTGTATCTAACTCAGTCCACTGCTGTGTGTGTTGTGCTGCAGGACCAGCATCAATGGCGTTCCGGAAGGCCTTGAAAGGGACAGCTATCATCGGGACTGGGGCGGCCGCTGCTCTTCTGGGCCTGTCACAACTGTCGGAATACAGAAAGACACAGGTAGGCCTGGGAGATTTGAGACATTGAGATTATTTAGTGGGTTAGGTTGCATTTTACACAATCTGCTTGTGTTGTTGTTTTGTAAACTCGTTTTTCTGATACTTGTATGGATGTTGAGTTTGTATGCTGCATTGAGGACATTAACGTTTTCTAATCTGATCTTATGTTGCCAAGGTTGTGGTTGTCTGTTTCTAAAGTCAGGACCTGTAAATGACACCTCAGAGTCCCTCTGCTGCAGGTTACGTATAGTAACGAGAGTGGGAGAGCATCTGACAATGGCAGGGCAGGCTCCTGTGAGTCTACTAGGGAACGGCCATCTGGGCAGCAGGTTGGCATTTATTGGGAAGACTAATGTACTGGAGGCAGCTGTGTGGTCACTAGCTGGCACACACCTTAAGCCTAACCTGAAAGTAAGACCAAATAGAGCACTTTTTTTCATGAATTTTTACAATATAGCCAATTTTGACTTTGCAGCTGGCCCATCTAGCAGAATTCACTCAGTTCTGCCTCCAGGACAAGATTCGTGACAGTGAACGTCAGCCTGCATCTGGGCATGTCTTATCTAGACTGAGGAATGTGTTCCACTTTTATTCAACACTATACTGCTTAGATGGGACTGCTGTGTAGAGTAAAGTTGACCTGAATATGAAGACAGTCAATGGGACTGCTGTGTAGAGTGAAGTTGACCTGAATATGAAGACAGTCAATGGGACTGCTGTGTAGAGTGAAGTTGACCTGAATATGAAGACAGTCAATGGGACTGCTGTGTAGAGTGAAGTTGACCTGAATATGAAGACAGTCAATGGGACAAACCCTGATCATAAAATAGCTCAATTTCTGTCTCAACTTGCCATAAACTGCCTTCGGGAGTGGTAAGATGGACTTTAGCTATGTGACGTGAGTAGTTCTTATGTCTTATTTCATTTATGTTCAGACAAGTAAGGGAACATGACTTATGATGTTTGATTAGTACACTGAAATAATCAACACTATTTCGGCGACAAACAAACAAACGGAGGTGCAATGGGAGTCCTGATTATTTTTCATTTAATCAAATCTGATGAAGCTCATGTGGATCATGTAGCATAGCGTCTGAAACTCTAGGGAACTGGCAAAAATACCCCTCCATGATGTTTCCATGGCAATGCATCACTTGATATTATTCATAGGGCAACTGCAGTGTGAACAAGCATTAGCCTGGTCCCAGATCAGTTTGTGCCGAACATGTTTGACGTGATAATGACTATATTGACAGCACAAACCATTCTGAGACCAGGAGACCACTGCATCACTGTAGACCAGGGATTGAAATAGCCAAGGAGTCACGCGGGTAACGTTAGAAAGAGAGAAACAGGTGCATCTTGACCTCTGAACCTAGTCAGAACCTCAGATATAAATACGACTTACAGTATACCTTCTATTTCAATGGTATGTTATTACAAGTGACATACCAGGTCACTTGTCCAAAGCATCTGAGCCTTTGTGTGACCCTTTGTCCTAATGTGAACTTTTATTTCTGTATCCTGGTATGATATCTTGTCCCCCAACCTTCCTCCCAAACAAGAATAAATGGGTAAGCAAAAGTCAAACGCCTCCGAATAAATAATAATAATCTGCAATCATGCATGCGGACGACGGTAGCCAACACTAACTAACCCTTGAGATTCTACTGCTAATTGGATAAATATGTCTGCTTGGTCTCCTCTGTGACAAGGGCACAATCTCTTTCTCTCTTTCAGCTTGAACGTTTTTTTGTTTTCTGGCGGTGGGCGATTGGACATTTGCATGACATCCACTGTCTCACTGACTCCATGTACTCAACGTGATTGCAGGGCAGACTGCCACTTAATTGTCTGTGGGTGTTTAAATATGCACGTCCATGGAAATAGACACTAATTATTTGATCTTGTTTGCTGTTACGGTCCTAAATTACAAATGCCCGGGTTTCATTCACAGATTTGCAAGTCAAATGGACCAAGTGGCGTCGCAGCAGCTCGATGTAATCATTTAGAGAATAAAATGTTAAATAGAAAAAGGAATAAAATGTTTCATTATGGCAGCCATCCTTGACTTGCTTGTCCCCATGATCCTTGAGTTCAGAACAGACTTGATTTGACTTTGTTCTTTTTTCCTCGAGTTATTTTGTGCGTTTGCATATCAGACACCAGGAATCATTGTTATTATCGAAGTACTACAAGCAGGGGTCTTTCTGTATGAATATGATTGCAGGGTACAACCCTTAACAATATGCGTACCTGATTTTGTTGTTGTGACCATAGATATCTATGGTCGTGACAATGTTGTTGTGACAATGTAGACACATCTATCCCAGAGGAGATTATCCAAGGTTTAAGGCATTGCTTTATGCCTTCACTAATCTCTGAACCCAGAACCAAATCTTGATTATGTTCACAGTCTGTCACAAAAGACTATGCCTTCACTAAAATAGATTTAACTGTGTATGTACTGCATGTTGTCCAGGCACGGCTGGCGTATGTAGCGGCGGAGGGGGAGTTACAGCAGCCGTTTAAAGATGAGCTCCCAACCAGACAGGCTCAGCTCTCCACCCTGCAAGACACTGAGGAGTTTGACGTCCTTGTCGTAGGGGGAGGGGCCACAGGCTCCGGATGTGCCTTAGACGCTGTCACACGCAGTGAGTCCCCAATGAACTGCACCGTTTTGGGAAAACCTTTTTGGGTTGGGGGTCAATTACATTTCAGTTCAGTCAATGTGCAGGAGAGTCGAGGCTATTCTTCTCTCAATATTATGAGGCCCTCAATGCAATATGCATGCCCTGCCATTTTCCCTTCATGAATATTATACGACAGGAGAAGCACATGGAAGTCATAACCTAGCAAAAGCCTCCTGAATAGCTCTGACTCTGAGGGTGCGTCCGAAATGGCACCCTATTCCCTATATAGACATGATCAGTCTATAATTTTAATGGTAGGTTTATTGGAACAGTGAGAGACAGAATAACAACAAAAAAATCCAGAAAAACGCATGTCAAAAATGTTATAAATTGATTTGCATTTTAATGAGGGAAATAAGTATTTGACCCCTCTGCAAAACATTACATAGTACTTGGTGGCAAAACCCTTGTTGGCAATCACAGAGGTCAGACGTTTCTTGTAGTTGGCCACCAGGTTTGCACACATCTCAGGAGGGATTTTGTCCCACTCCTCTTTGCAGATCTTCTCCAAGTCATTAAGGTTTCGAGGCTGACGTTTGGCAACTCGAACCTTCAGCTCCCTCCACAGATTTTCAATGGGATTAAGGTCTGGAGACTGGCTAGGCCACTCCAGGACCTTAATGTGCTTCTTCTTGAGCCACTCCTTTGTTGCCTTGGCCGTGTGTTTTGGGTCATTGTCATGCTGGAATACCTATCCACGACCCATTTTCAATGCCCTGGCTGAGGGAAGGAGGTTCTCACCTAAGATTTGACGGTACATGGCCCCGTCCATCGTCCCTTTGATGCGGTGAAGTTGTCCTGTCCCCTTAGCAGAAAAACACCCCCAAAGCATAATGTTTCCACCTCCATGTTTGACGGTGGGGATGGTGTTCTTGGGGTCATTGGCAGAATTCCTCGTCCTCCAAACACGGCGAATTGAGTTGATGCCAAAGAGCTCCATTTTGGTCTCATCTGACCATAACACTTTCACCTAGTTCTCCTCTGAATCATTCAGATGTTCATTGGCAAACTTCAGATGGGCCTGTATATGAACTGTCTTGAGGAGGGGGACCTTGCGGACGCTGCAGGATTTCAGTCCTTCACGGCGTAGTGTGTTACCAATTGTTTTCTTGGTGATTATGGTCCCAGCTGCCTTGAGATCATTGACAAGATCATCCCGTGTAGTTCTGGGTTGATTCCTCACCGCTCTCATGATCATTGCAACTCCACGAGGTGAGATCTTGCATGGAGCCCCAGGCCGAGGGAAATTGACAGTTATTTTGTGTTTCTTCTATTTGCGAATAATCGCACCAACTGTTGTCAACTTCTCACCAAGCTGCTTGGCGATGGTCTTGTAGCCCATTCCAGCCTTGTGTAGGTCTACAATCTTGTCCCTGACATCCTTGGAGAGCTCTTTGGTCTTGGCCATGGTGGAGAGTTTGGCATCTGATTGATTGATTGCTTCTGTGGACAGCTGTCTTTTATACAGGTAACAAGCTGAGATTAGGAGCACTCCCTTTAAGAGTGTGCTCCTAATCTCAGATCGTTACCTGTATAAAAGACACCTGGGAGCCAGAAATCTTTCTGATTGAGAGGGGGTCAAATACTTATTTCCCTCATTGAAATGCAAATCAATTTCTAACATTTTTGACATGCGTTTTTCTGTTTTTTTGTTGTTGTTATTCTGTCTCTCACTGTTCAAATAAACCTACCATTAAAATTATAGACTGATAATTTATTTGTCAGTGGGAGTGCACTATGTTTGACCAGAGCCCTGGTTGAAGGTAGTGCGCTATATAGGGAATAGGGTGCCATTTCAGCCAGTCTGAGTCTAAATCCTAGTCTTGTCTTGATCTGTCTCTGTGTCTCTGCTCTCCTAGACCTTAAGACTGCCCTGGTGGAGAGGAATGATTTCTCATCGGGGACCAGCAGCCGCAGCACCAAGCTCATCCACGGGGGAGTACGTTACCTCCAAAAGGCCATCATGAAATTAGATTACGAACAGGTAAACGGCTCGCTTCTCCCATGCTGCCTGACAGTTGGTTCCCTCTGTGATCACATTGCTTTGTTTTCCCCCGTTGTGGACATTTGTCATTGAAAAGAGATTGAGAGGTTGGAAGATTCAGAGGGTTTTAGGGCACTAGGTGTTTCCAATAATCCTTCTTTAGTCTCGTATTGTGTTAATGCTACGAGCATACTCATACTATTCTACCAACATGCACTGTATTACATACTCATACTATTCTACCAACATGCACTGTATTACATACTCATACTATTCTACCAACATGCACTGTATTACATACTCACACTATTCTACCAACATGCACTGTATTACATACTCACACTATTCTACCAACATGCACTGTATTACATACTCACACTATTCTACCAACATGCACTGTATTACATACTCATACTATTCTACCAACATGCACTGTATTACATACTCATACTATTCTACCAACATGCACTGTATTACATACTCATACTATTCTACCAACATGCACTGTATTACATACTCATACTATTCTACCAACATGCACTGTATTACATACTCACACTATTCTACCAACATGCACTGTATTACATACTCATACTATTCTACCAACATGCACTGTATTACATACTCATACTATTCTACCAACATGCACTGTATTACATACTCACACTATTCTACCAACATGCACTGTATTACATACTCATACTATTCTACCAACATGCACTGTATTACATACTCATACTATTCTACCAACATGCACTGTATTACATACTCATACTATTCTACCAACATGCACTGTATTACATACTCATACTATTCTACCAACATGCACTGTATTACATACTCATACTATTCTAACAACATGCACTGTATTATGTGTTAGATGATATCTAGCCATTTTACTGTACCTCTAAACCCCTCTTTCCCCTGTTCTCAGTACATGATGGTGAAAGAGGCTCTCCACGAGCGCTCCAACCTGCTAGAAATCGCCCCTCATCTGTCTGCCCCACTACCCATCATGCTCCCTGTTTACAAGTAAGACACGAGTCCATACAGTTAGTAGAATGAGAGTTACACCCTGTCAACTGAAAATGTTATGAGTGGTTGGTGGTTGTTCAACCGGATACAAGCCAGATGGCCATTCTGTATAACAGACAGCAATACCAGGTGTCCTCTAATGGTTACCTCTAACGGTTACCTCTAATGGTTACGTCTAATGGTTACGTCTAATGGTTACCTCTAACGGTTACCTCTAACGGTTACCTCTAATGGTTACTGACTGAAAGTCACTCTGCATAAGAGCATCTGCTAAATGACCAACATGTAAATGTAATGGCTGAATGTACTCTGTCTACTGGGCTGGTATAAAGATGCTGTACTGTACTATCTGTGTATAGATGGTGGCAGCTGCCGTACTACTGGGCTGGTACTACTACGTACTATCTGTGTAAGATGGTGGCAGCTGCCAACTACTGGGCTGGTATAAGATGCTGTACTGTACTATCTGTGTATAGATGGTGGCAGCTGCCGTACTACTGGGCTGGTATAAAGATGCTGTACTGTACTATCTGTGTATAGATGGTGGCAGCTGCCGTACTACTGGGCTGGTATAAAGATGCTGTACTGTACTATCTGTGTATAGATGGTGGCAGCTGCCATACTACTGGGCTGGTATAAAGATGCTGTACTGTACTATCTGTGTATAGATGGTGGCAGCTGCCGTACTACTGGGCTGGTATAAAGATGCTGTACTGTACTATCTGTGTATAGATGGTGGCAGCTGCCGTACTACTGGGCTGGTATAAAGATGCTGTACTGTACTATCTGTGTATAGATGGTGGCAGCTGCCATACTACTGGGCTGGTATAAAGATGCTGTACTGTACTATCTGTGTATAGATGGTGGCAGCTGCCCGTACTACTGGGCTGTATAAGATGCTGTACTGTACTATCTGTGTTAGATGGTGGCAGCTGCCATACTACAGGGCTGGTATAAAGATGCTGTACTGTACTATCTGTGTATAGATGTGGCAGCTGCCATACTACTGGCTGGTATAAAGATGCTGTACTCTACTATCTTGTATAGATGGTGGCAGCTGCCATACTACTGGCTGGTATAAAGATGCTGTACTGTACTATCTGTGTATAGATGGTGGCAGCTGCCGTACTACTGGGCTGGTATAAAGATGCTGTACTCTACTATCTGTGTATAGATGGTGGCAGCTGCCGTACTACTGGGCTGGTATAAAGATGTACGACCTGGTGGCTGGAGGCCAGTGTCTGAAGAGCAGCTATGTGCTCAGTAAGAACAAGGCCCTGGAACTCTTCCCCATGCTGAAGAAAGACAAGCTGGTAGGAGCCATCGTCTACTATGATGGTGAGTAGTTCTCATTGTTATCTTCATTCAAAGGGCTTTTTAGTCCAGGGTTAGGTTTAATATGGGTCCGGGGAACTGCTCCAAAATGTATTACACTCTGGATAAGAGCGTCTGCTAAATGACTAGAATGTAAATGTAAATGAATTGCTAGACATACTAACACTTCAGTCAGTTATGCTCCTATAGGATGGTAATAACCTTCTCATTTATCAAGAGGCTTCCCTTCTGTTTGCTAAGTGGGCTATGTCTAGCGCCGGTACATGTCTAGCGCCGGTACATGTCTAGCGCCGGTACATGTCTAGCGCCGGTACATGTCTAGCGCCATACATTAAGAATTCATATTAGCCCACACTGTTATTAAACAAAACATTTTCATAAAAATAGTGCCTTTTTCCCAACAGTAACAACATTATATTTCCTTACTGTGGGTGTGAATTAAATGTGGCCCAAGTCAACAACAAGACAAGACACAAGGGAGCCGGTGGCCATCAGATCTCATAAGTCCATTGATGCCTGAACCAATGCGTCTGCGAGCAGCTTGTGCTCTCTATGTGCCTTGGGCCAAGGCTGTGAAGTGTGTGCGTGGCCACGGAGACGACCAATCATATGTTCCTGCTCTATCTGGGTGTATTCTGTGCAGATAATGTCCCGTTAGTTGACTGGAGGCCTCTCTTTTTCACACCAACAACAGCCAACTCTGTGCCTGAAGGCTGTCTGAATCAGTCAGTCTACATTTAGATTCTACTGGGTCCCTCCAAGAGTGGAAAGCTCTTCTCTGAGGGGGATAATATACCAGGCCAGATATCTGAGCAGCAGTTCGTCACATTCACTCACTTGACTTTCTGAGGAAAAGAGTGAGGCATGTTGATATTTCTTTTGTAGCATTTTGTTTATTTGAATGCGTTTTGATTATTGCTAATTTGTAATTTGCATAACATATTTTTAGTTTAACATTTCTTCCAGGTGGAATGTATGGGTATATATTGTCTCTGGGAGTACTGTCTGTCTACCAGCTAACAGAGAGAATATTCGGAGGGGTTTTGTGTTGGGTTGAAGCAGCATTGTTGGGTTGGTTTGTACCCCTCCCCCCAGGAGGCAGAGGGGGTCTTTTCTCTCCAATTATTCCGTCTGGAACAATCACGGCCGTGACATTTCAGAAGCTGACCTTCTCTGCTACCGCGGCTCAGAGAAGAGGATAGCAGTACCGTGGTCTGACTGCCAGCCTGCTCTGTCTCCTCCTCTTCTTCGGCCTGCCGGGTGGGATCTTAGACAGCACCAGTGTTACTCATTTCCCAGGAGACCAGTGTGGTCCAACACACACACACACCACACACAAAAGACAGGAGTCCTCATTCTTACTAATTCATTCTGCACAATTGTGTAATTGATTTTTTCAGCAAGCAACCATGAACTGGTTTGTTAGACGTACCGTATTTTGAGATACCAACCAGGTCTCCAGTCATACCTTCTGCTGCCTAATGTGAGGCGTCAGCTCAGCCAAGCACACCCCAGCCCCACTCCAGCCCACCTCAGCCCACCCCAGGCCAGCCCTGCCCACCCTAGCCGACCCCATCCCAGACCACCCCAACCCTGGCTGTCACAACTAGCCCTGTCACCTCTCTTTCCCATCTCACAAGCTCTCTCACTCTAGTGATTTGAGTAGCACCAGGAAGCATGGATGAGGACCGGGCCCTGAGGGCAGGAATGAACCAAATGCCCCTGCAAGGGATTCCCACACATTAGATACACCACAGCCACACTGCACTTCAAGGCGCCGTTCCAATACTATTTAACTTTTTGGGCAACCCGACCAAATTCACATAGAAATGTGAGTTATAGATCTGTAATTCTCATTGAAACCAAGTCTAAGAAGCAGTAGATCTGTTCTATGTGTGCTATTTCTATGATTCTATTCTTAAGTTTAGTTTTTTGCGTTTTTTACTTTCAAACAGCTGAAAATACAATATTTTTGTTTATGGAAAATATATTTCACAGCGGTTTAGATGGTACAATGATTCTCTACACTATAATTGCTTGTTTTGGCACATAAACTGGAATTAGGCGAACTATTCAGATTTTTCACAACCAGGAAATGGCGGAACAATTTCTGCATAGAGCACCTTTAAAGAAATCTTACTTCCTTGTTTCTATTTCTCTTCGACCCACTATCGACCTATCGTCTCTCCCCCTTCACCCCCCCCCCCCCACCCAGGACAGCATAATGATGCTCGTATGAACCTGGCGATCGCCCTGACAGCAGCCAGACATGGTGCTGCCATCGCTAACTACACAGAGGTGGTCCACCTGCTGAAGAAGACAGACGCAGTGACGGGCAAGGAGAAGGTCTGTGGGGCGCGCTGCAGGGACGTTATTACAGGTACGCATGCACACACACACACACACACACACACACCACACACACACACACACACACACACACACAAAGACACAGTATGACGGTGGTTTTTGATTGAAACTGTTATGATCTCTCACAGGAAATGAATTTGACGTCAGAGCCAAATGTGTCATCAACGCCACGGGACCGTTCACTGACTCTCTGAGGAAAATGGACGACGGGAAAAACACTAACATTTGCCAGCCCAGTGCTGGGGTTCACATAGTTATCCCTGGTTATTACAGGTACAGTACAGGGACAGCACCACACTGTCACACCTTCACACCAGGGACAGCAACACCCTGTCACACCTTCACACCAGGGACAGCAACACCCTGTCACACCTTCACACCAGGGACAGCACACTCTGTCACACCTTCACACCAGGGACAGCAACACTCTGTCACACCTTCACACCAGGGACAATAGCACCCTCACAACCAGTTAAACTTAGGTCATGAATTTAAATTCAACTCATGAATTGAAAAGTGTCATTTATTTTTAATGAGGGAATTTCAATTCAGCAGCGCTGACCAACCAGGTCTTCCTAAATGTAGTTGTCATATCCATAGCCCCTCCTCCCTCTGCCCTGTTCTTGTAGTCCTGACAACATGGGTCTCCTGGACCCGGCAACCAGCGACGGCCGTGTCATCTTCTTCCTGCCCTGGGAGAAGATGACCATCGCCGGGACAACGGACACGCCCACTGACGTCACCGCCCATCCCATCCCCAGGGAGGAAGACATCAACTTCATCCTGAACGAAGTCCGCAATTACCTCAGCCCTGATGTAGAGGGTACGTAACCCCCCCAAACTACCTCAGCCCTGATGTAGAGGGGACGTAACCCCCCCAAACTACCTCAGCCCTGATCTAGAGGGACGTAACCCCCCCAAACTACCTCAGCCGTGATGTAGAGGGTACGTAACCCCCCAAACTACCTCAGCCCTGATGTAGAGGGACGTAACCCCCCCAAACTACCTCAGCCCTGATGTAGAGGGGACGTAACCCCCCCCAAACTACCTCAGCCCTGATGTAGAGGGACGTAACCCCCCCAAACTACCTCAGCCCTGATGTAGAGGGTCCGTAACCCCCAAACTACCTCAGCCCTGATGTAGAGGATACGTAACCCCCCCAAACTACCTCAGCCCTGATGTAGAGGGTCCGTAACCCCCAAACTACCTCAGCCCTGATGTAGAGGTCCGTAACCCCCAAACTACCTCAGCCCTGATGTAGTGGACACGTAACGTTGACTTTCAAACAGCACAGCAGCTAGTAATTATGCTGGAGACACTACAGGCTTGATTTTCTGATTGTTTAGCTTGAAATGGGTTTGCCGTTTGATGTAATACCTGTCCGATGCCTCTGTGCCTCAGGTAACGATCTCTGTCACCACATGCAGATGAGATTCACTGTGTTCTCTGACTGGTTCTAGGACCTCTGATAAGATATGATATGATGTGGTCATTTGATTTAGCAGAATCTTGTGTGCGATACTGACTCTGTCCTCTCCCTGTGGTCCTCAGTGAGGAGAGGAGACGTCCTGGCAGCATGGAGTGGTATCCGTCCTCTGGTCACTGACCCCAACTCTAAAGACACCCAGTCCATCTGCAGGAACCACATAGTCAACGTCAGCGACAGCGGCCTGGTCACCATTGCAGGTCAGTGCCTACTCTAAAACAAGTTGTATCCTGATTCAGTGCTATATACCTGTAGTAGTTTATAGTGTGTTAGTAGCCATCAATAGCCCTTAGCCTATAGACTTTTTCCTGCTCAAATTTGATAGGGCATGTCCTGTATTCTGTCTGGCCATGTATCTAATAATAATGATAATTTGGTGGGTGTTTGTATTTGTCCTATTTCATATATCTACAAGTGTGTATTATACACATGTGAATTGGAAATGTGTTTTTTGCAAATCCCACTCCCCCTGAGACACCCTCAGAGAGCAATTAGGGTTAAGTGCCTTGCTCAAGAGCACATCGACAGATGTTTCAACTTATCGGCTCGGGGATTTGAACTAGCGACTTTCGGTGACTGGCCCAATGCACTAACCGCTAAGCTACCCCTATCGTATCGGGTGTGTGTAACGTGGATGATCCCATCACCTCAGGTGGGAAGTGGACAACATACCGCTCCATGGCGGAGGAGACCCTGGACGCAGCGGTTGCAGCCCACAGGCTGGGGGGCGGGCCCAGTAAGACAGTGGGTCTGGTGCTGGAGGGGGGCCAAGACTGGACCCCCACCTTGTACATCCGACTGGTGCAGGACTACGGCCTGGAGAATGAGGTGGGGACAGACCCTTCCCATAGACCTTCAGTCTTTAGCCACCATTTTGGATCTATAATTCTCCCTAAGGCAATGTCAATTGCACTATGGTTACACAGGCAGTGCCTTGCAAAAGTATTCATCTCCCTTGGCGTTTTTCCTATTTTGTTGCATTACAACCTGTAATTTAAATGGATTTTTATTTGGATTTCATGTAATGGACATACATAAAATAGTCCAAATTGGTGAAGTGAAATGAAAAAAATAACTTGTTTCAAAAACTTCTAAAAAAGAAATAACGGAAAAGTGGTGCATGCATATGTATTCACCCCCTTTGCTATGAAGCCCCTAAATAAGTTCTGGTGCAACCAATTACCTTCAGAAGTCACATAATTAGTTAAATAAAGTCCACCTGTGTGCAATCTAAGTGTCACATGATCTCAGTATATATACACCTGTTCCGAAAGGCCCCAGAGTCTGCAACACCACTAAGCAAGGGGCACCACCAAGCAAGCGGCACCATGAAGACCAAGGAGCTCTCCAAACAGGTCATGGACAAAGTTGTGGAGAAGTACAGATCAGGGTTGGGTTATAAAAAAATATATCCGAAACTTTGAACATCCCACGGAGCACCATTCAATCCATTATTAAAAAATTGAAAGAATATGGCACCACAACAAACCTGCCAAGAGAGGGCCGCCCACCAAAACTCACGGACCAGGCAAGGAGGGCATTAATCAGAGAGGCAACAAAGAGACCAAAGATAACCCTGAAGAAGCTGCAAAGCTCCACAGCGGAGATTGGAGTATATGTCCATAGGACCACTTTAAGCCGTACACTCCACAGAGCTGGGCTTTACGGAAGAGTGGCCAGAAAAAAGCCATTGCTTAAAGAAAAAATATATGTTTGGTGTTTGCCAAAAGGCATGTGGCAGACTCCCCAAACATATGGAAGAAGGTACTCTGGTCAGATGAGACTAAAATTGAGCTTTTTGGCCATCAAGGAAAACGCTATGTCTGGCGCAAACCCAACACCTCTCATCACCCCGAGAACACAATCCCCACAGTGAAGCATGGTGGTGGCAGCATCATGCTGTGGGGATGTTTTTCATCGGCAGGGACTGGGAAACTGGTCAGAATGGAAGGAATGATGGATGGCGCTAAATACAGGGAAATTCTTGAGGGAAACTTGTTTCAGTCTTACAGAGATTTGAGACTGGGACGGAGATTCACCTTCCAGCAGGACAATGACCCTAAGCATAATGCTAAAGAAACACTTGAGTGGTTTAAGGGGAAACCTTTAAATGTCTTGGAATGGCCTAGTCAAAGCCCAGACCTCAATCCAATTGAGAATCTGTGGTATGACTTAAAGATTGCTGTACACCGGCGGAACCCATCCAACTTGAAGGAGCTGGAGCAGTTTTGCCTTGAAGAATGGGCAAAAATCCCAGTGGCTAGATGTGCCAAGCTAATAGAGACATACCCCAAGAGACTTGCAGCTGTAATTGCTGCAAAAGGTGGCTCTACAAAGTATTGACTTTGGGGGGGGTGAATAGTTATGCACGCTCATGTTTTCAGTTTTTTTGTGTTATTTCTTGTTTGTTTCAGAAGAAAAAATATTTTGCATCTTCAAAGTGATAGGCATGTTGTGTAAATCAAATGATACAAACCCCCCCAAAATCAATTTTAATTCCAGGTTGTAAGGCAACAAAATAGGAAAAATGCCAAGGGGGGTGAATACTTTCGCAAGCCACTGTATATCATATATCAGAACATGTAACGTTGGTTAACGGTTGGATGAAGGTTGAAAATGTTGAGATGATGTTGCGTTACAAGACAGCAGTACACAGGGATATTGATCCGAGGCTCTAGACCAGGGGTACTCAACTCTTACCCTACGAGGTCCGGCGCCTGCTGGTTTTCTGTTCTACCTGATAATTAATTGCAAACACCTGGTGTCCCAGGTCTAAATCAGTCCCTGATTAGAGGGGAACAATGAAAAAAGGTAGTGGAACTGGCTTGGAGGTCCAGAGTTGAGTTTGAAGGCTCTAGACCAGACCAGTGTACTTCCCTTTCAAGGTTTTAGAAGTCATCTGTACCAGGTAGGCTCCACTTCCTATCTATGTTAACTTCTCATTAGAGAAAGCCTTCCCCACCATTAGGGTTTTTTCTATAATATTCCAAAAGGTCAGTGTTCATATTTTGACAGCATTTGACCTTTTGTTGAGAGAGCTAAGCCAACCATCTGAATAGCAATAACCCCTTGTTTGGTCCAAACACATGATAAATCATAGACATAACTGTATGTACCCATCACCCACCTCAGCATATCCAAAACATTGGAGCTGTGCTGAAAGATCGTATCGATCCACAAGGAGTTGCCTTTTAACAGCTGCCTGCTGCGTTTCACAATACTCTCTCAATACTGTCTTTGGCAAACGCTGTTGGTCATATTCAAACAAAACCATTAACTGGTCTTCAATCATAAAGTGTCACCCTAAACCTTGTTTCATTGATTATATGACCCCACACAATGCCCTCTCACAGTGCAATGCCATTTTGTCTTGGTAAAACCTCAAACATGGATTGCGGTTTTGATTGAATAGTGCCATGTTTCCCATAATTCCACAGGTTGCCCAGCACCTGGCAGCGACGTACGGGGGGAAGGCATTCGACGTGGCCAAGATGGCGCGGGTCACTGGGAAGAGGTGGCCCATCGTAGGGAAGAGACTGGTCTCTGAATTCCCTTACATTGAGAGTGAGGTGCAGTAAGGCTACTACAGAATACTGCATCAGATTTGGAAAAGACAGCATGTTTATGTACACACACACACACACACACACACACACACACACACACATCATGACCATAGACTATTACGTTCTATTATCTATCCAATTGAAACACTCCCCCCACCCTCCTCCAGGTGAGGTATGCCATTAAGGAGTATGCTTGTACAGCCATCGATGTGATCGCCAGGCGCACACGGCTGGGTTTCCTCAACGTGCAGGCTGCTGATGAGGCACTGCCACGCATCGTAGAGATCATGGGAAAGATGCTGGACTGGAGTGATGAAAAGAGGACGGTACGTCACTAACTGTTGTTCCCGTCTTCTAGACTGTAGTTCAAATGACTGTCTGGCAGTGTTACAGAAAGTATTTTAGAACACCTTTTAAATAACATATACAAACAAAGAAATACTTTTTTACGTTTAAAAATAACAACTTGCCTTAATATCTATCTTTAAATCCATCTTTGTATGATTTCCTGTCCAGTAAAGACTTAGGACCTGTTTTAATACAACCATTGTTTTAATGATTCAGTGACTACAATGCATTCTCTCATTCTCACTCACTGGACTAATAATAATGTTTTGATTTGAGTAGGGCCAACCCTAAATCCATGTGCTGCTATTCCGTTTTATAGGAGCGCTGGAGCCGCTGTTAGATCAGAGTATAATAGTAGGCGCTACGCCCTTCCTGGATTTCCCCCTCCAGGGGGGTGTGTGTGAACTTTCCCCCAGTTCTGGTATTCCTGTTGTCCTGCTCTTTACAGGTTTAGTACAAGATGCATGAGTTCCTTTTACTTTATAAGTTGTTGTTACAGTTAGCTATGATCCCTTTTCATGAATTATGACTTAAATGAGTTATGATTAAAGTTATGAAGAATATACACTATATATACAAATGTATGTGGACACCCCTTCAAATTAGTGGATTCAGCTATTTCAGCCAAGTCAACAAGTCAGTTCGTCAAATGTCTGCCCTGCTAGAGCTGCCCCGGTCAACTGTAAGTGCTGTTATTGTGAAGTGGAAACGTCTAGGAGTAACAACGGGTCAGCCGCGAAGTGGTAGACCACACAAGCTCACAGAACAGGACTGCCGAGTGCTGAAGCGCCTAGCACGTAAAAATCGTCTGTCCACGGTTGCAACACTAACTACCAAGTTCCAAACTGCCTCTGGAAGCAACGTCAGCACAATAACTGTTCGTCGGAAGCTTCATGAAATGGGTTTCCATGGCCGAGCAGCCGCACACAAGCCTAAGATCACCTAGCGCAATGCCAAGCGTTGGCTGGAGTGGTGTAAAGCTCGCCGGCATTGGACTCTGGATCAGTGGAAACGCGTTCTCTGGAGTGATGAATCACGCTTCACCATCTGGCAGTCCGACGGACGAATCTGAGTTTGGCTGATGCCAGGAGAACGCTACCTGCCCCAATGCATAGTGCCAATTGTAAAGTTTGGTGGAGGAGGAATAATGGTATGGGGTTGTTTTTCATGGTTTGGGCTAGGCCCCCTTAGTTCCAGTGAAGGGAAATCTTAATGCTACAGCATACAATGACATTCTAGATGATTCTGTGCTTCCAACTTTGTGGCAACAGTTTGGGGAAGGCCCTTTCCTGTTCCAGCATGACAATGCCCCCGTGCAGAAGGTGAGGTCCATACAGAAATGTTTTGTCGAGATCGGTGTGGAAGAACTTGACTGACCTGCACAGAGCCCTGACCTCAACCCAATCGAACACCTTTGGGATGAATTGGAACGCCGACTGCGAGCCAGGCCTAATCGCTCAACATCAGTGCCCGACCTCACTAATGCTCTTGTGGCTGAATGGAAGCAAGTCCCCGCAGCAATGTTCCAATATATAGTGGAGAGCCTTCCCAGAAGAGTGCAGGTTGTTGTAGCAGCAAAGAGGGGACCAACTCCATATTAATGCCCATGATTTTAGAATGAGATGTTCGATGAGCAGGTGTCCACATACCTTTGGTCATGTAGTGTAACTTATCTTCACTACCATGGTTTGTTTAGGAGGAGCTGGAAGCTGCTAAGAAGTTCCTGTACCTTGAGATGGGCTACAGGTCCCGCTCTGAGCAGCTGACCGGGACCTCAGAGATCACACTGGACACACAGGAAGTGGCAAGGTACTCTACTTCCTGTCTACTTTACTCTCTACTTCCTGTCTACTTTACACTCTACTTCCTGTCTACTTTACTCTCTACTTCCTGTCTACTTTACGCTCTACTTCCTGTCTACATTACACTCTAGGGCAGGGGTGTAAAACTCAATCAGCGCCATATTGAAAAAAACACAACAAATTTGCAGGCCAGACATAGCCTATTCATAGCCTATTATGTGTTTTTTTTTACTATTAAAAACTGGGCCAAACTGGCCATTATTTTATTTGAAGAAATATGGCCCTTTACAATGTCCACTTACACTGCCTTTGGAAGTATTCAGACCCCTTGACTTTTTCCACATTTTGTTACTTTACAGCCTTATTCTAAAATTGATTACATTGTTTTTTTTCCCTCATCAATCTACATACCCATAATGACAAATGACAAAAAAATACAGGTTTTTAGAAATGTTTGCTAATTTATTAAAAATAAAAAACTGAAATATCACATTTACATAAGTATTCAGACCCTTTACTCAGTACTGTCTTCTTGAGTATGACACTACAAGCTTGGCACACCTGTATTTGGAGAGTTTCTCCCATTCTTCTCTGCAGATCCTCTCAAGCTCTGTCAGGTTGGATGGGGAGCATCGCTGCACAGCTCTTTTCAGGTCTCTCCAGAGATGTTAGATCGGGTTCAAATCCGGACTCTGGCTGGGCCACTCAAGGACATTCAGAGACTTGTCCCGAAGCCATTCCTGCGTTGTCTTGGCTGTGTGTTTAGGGTCGTTGTCCTGTTGGAAGGTGAACTGAGCGCCCTGGAGCAGGTTTTCATGAAGGATCTCACTGTACTTTGTTCCGTTCATCTTTGCCTCGATCCTGACTAGTCTCCCAGTCCCTGCTGCTGAAAAACATCCCCATAGCATGATGCTGCCACCACCATGATTCACCGTAGGGATGGTGCCAGGTTTCCTCCAGACATGACGCTTAACATTCAGGCCAAAGAGTTCAATCTTGGTTTCATCAGACCAGAGAATCTTGTTTCTCATGGTCTGAGAGTCTTTAGGTGTCTTTTGGCAAACTCCAAGTGGGCTGTCATGTGCCTTTTACTGAGGAGTGGCTTCCGTCTAGCCATTCTACCATAAAGGCCTGATTGGTGGAGTGCTGCAGAGATGGTTGTCCTTCTGGAAGGTTCTCCCATCTCCACAGAGGAACTCTAGAGCTCTGTCAGAGTGACCATTGGGTTCTTGGTCACCTCCCTGACCAAGGCCCTTCTCCCCCGATTGCTCAGTTTGGCCGGGTGGCCAGCTCTAGGAAGAGTCTTGGTGGTTCCAAACTTCTTCCATTTAAGAATGATGGAGGCCACTGTGTTCTTGGGGACCGTCAATGCTGCAGAAATATTTTGGTACCCTTCCCCAGATCTGTGCCTCGACACAATCCTGTCTCTGAGCTCTACGGACAATTCCTTCGACCTCATGGCTTGGTTTTTGCTCTGACATGCACTGTCAACTGTGGGACCGTATATAGACAGGTTTGTGCATTTCCAAATCATGTAAATTAATTGAATTTACCACAGGTGGACTCCAATCAAGTTGTAGAAACATCTCAAGGATGATCAATGGAAACAGGATGCACCTGAGCTCAATTTCGAGTCTCATAGCAAAGGGTCTGAATACTTATGTAAATAAGGTATTTCTGTTTTTTTATTTGTAAGAAATTTGCAAAAATGTCTAAAAACCTGTTCTCGCTTTGTCGTTATGGGGTACCGTGTGTAGATTGCTGAGGATTATTTATTTATTTTTAATCCATTTTAGAATAAGGCTGTAACGTAACAAAATGTGGAAAAAGTCAACGGGTCTGAATACTTTCCGAAGGCACTGTATGTACATAGGATGCTGTATATAGCATTTATAACATATTAAAACAAAAGAAGAGCTCAGTAATATTTGTCCAGCCTGCTGCTATGCTTGCAGATGTGCATAATATGCTGCGACCCTAATCAAAAAGTATTTAAAAACTCAAAATAACAAAAATGTAGCTAGGTTGTTGTAACATTTAAACTTAAAACATGGATCACCGCTGTATGGTGCACTCAAAATGTCTTGTAGATGAGTAGTCAGCCTAGCCTACTGCTCAAATGTTGCTGTTGTTGTGGAAAACTCGATCCAAAGGCAGAGACTATTTAATTGTATAATAGAAAAATCTTTAATGCATACGAGCAGCTGCAAGGTAGATCCGTCTCTGATCTGAGTCTGGGAAGAACTTGGAGGGGAGATGGTTAAATGTCCCTTTTATATAGTGTGAGGTGATAATAAAATCATATTGTTAACACAACAGTTATTTTATACAAGCAACAGTTCCAGAACACAATGGCCTTGTGTTAGGGTGCACACATACCAGGAGTCTATGAAAGGCATAACATCACAGTCCAACACAGAACATATCTCTTGAGAAGTGACAACAGCTCACCCCAAATTATGCCACCACACTGTAACAGGCCTACATGTTTCTCCTTTGCATGGTGTTCTGTTGCAGGTTGAGTTGTTTGGTTATTCACTGTCAAGCTTTAAAAACCGAAGCCAGACGGCAACATGTTAGTAGCCTAGCTAGGACTGTGGCATGTGTCTGGACACTTTCCCTCGGCTGCGCGCTGGAAACGGGACACACGAACGCAATGCAGTTGATGTTGAATTCACCGACGTGAGCGTGCATCAGGCTGTAATTTCATAAAGTAGATGACTCAACTGTTCACTCATTTATACTCGCTTGTGTGTCCTATTGTCCTTTAGTAGTCATTTATACCCACGTGTGAATCCCTTATCTTATAACTTTTTGACGACCAAGATTACATTTTCTGTAGACGACAGCAATGACTCGTTGGAACCGAAACGTGGCATGGACATGTAGCCTACAACACGTATAAACTTTGGGTCCGGTAGAAGATTTGGTCAGTGCCATTGGTGATGACATGATACAGCTCACTGGCTGGCTGTGTGGGTCTGGAACAGGCGCTGTGTGGCAATGCACTGCCGTTTGGCGTGCAGCACGTTGACAGTGCTTGCTGTGACTTATAGTGCAGCGCACTGTGGCTGTATGGAAGCGGGACAAAATTAATTGACAACCCAAATCATTGCGCGGGTCCAGATAGAAATGTGTCACAGGCCGGATTCTGCCCGCGGGCCTTGTGTTTGACACGTGTTCTAAGGGAGCAACTGACTGGATTGAGATGGACCCCTGATATACCAAGGGGTCAATCTCAATTCAGGCAGTTGCTCCCTCCCATCTGACCTTCTTAAGTCACTCCCCTTGAGATGTTGCCACGATTTGAGATGCAGATTGCATTAATAGCTCTGTCTGATTGACAGGTACACAAACCGGTTCCACAAGTTTGACAAAGACAGTAAAGGCTTCATCACCACAGTGGATGTTCAGAGGGTCTTACAGGTGAGAAACTTTCCCGTCTCTCTTTGGAATCTTTTTCCATGTGTGCAGACTGGGCTCATGTAAACTGTGTGCAAAGGCCATTGCTAAGCAACTAACAAAAGAGGTGTGGCGTTATTTCCTGATATTTTGTCTCACTGGTCTCTCTCCCCCTCCCAGAACATAATTTCCTGATATTTTGTCTCACTGGTCTCTCTCCCCCTCTCAGAACATAATTTCCTGATATTTTGTCTCACTGGTCTCTCTCCCCCTCTCAGAACATAATTTCCTGATATTTTGTCTCACTGGTCTCTCTCCCCCTCTCAGAACATCATTTCATGATATTTTGTCTCACTGGTCTCTCTCCCGCTCTCAGAACATAATTTCCTGATATGTTATCTCACTGGTCTCTCTCCCCCTCCCAGAACATCAGTGTTCAGATTGATGAGAACGCTCTCCATGAAATCCTCAACGAAGTGGACCTCAACAAGAATGGACAGGTGGAGCTGAATGAGTTTTTACAGGTAGGTGTTTTTTGTGTGTATGTATGTATTTGTGTGTGTTTATGTATGTGTGTGTATGTGTGTGTGTGTATGTATGTATTTGTGTGTGTGTATGTATGTATGTGTGTGTGTGTGTGTGTGTGTGTGTGTGTGTGTGTGTGTGTGTGTGTATGTATGTATTTGTGTGTGTGTCCCCTGTCCTCCCTCCACCAATAAGAGGACTCATTAATTCTCAGGCCCATGGTCAATATTCTCTCTCGCTCTCTCTCCTCTTTCTTTCTTTCTTTCTTTCTTTCTTTCTTTCTTTCTTTCTTTCTTTCTTTCTTTCTTTCTTTCTTTCTTTCTTTACCATGAGAAGCTAAACAAACAGACCAGGCTGGAGAACATGATAATACACTCCTCAGGGAGAAGGATCAATTACCCAACCCCCCCCCCCCCCCCCCCCCCCCCCCCCCCTCCCACACACACACACACACCAACACTCAGCTACAGAACAGGTAGATGCTCCGATTAGTTTTACATGATTACAACATTCCAATTAATAGAGAATAGGTGATTCTGTTCGCTGGGTGTTTTTTCCCTTGTGCGAGTGGCAAGGCATGACAGACCCTCCTATGAAGGGAGCTGTAGGTGTGAAAGCCTAACTGGGAGTATGTTCTCTCCTGACCAGATACAGATCATTAGAGGCTGAAACATATGACAATGACTCCAGGTAATGAGGGTGAGATAGATCTACAGTACTTCCAGGTTGTTAGTAGTCATCATGTGATCAATTAGGAAGTATAATGCTGAGGACCATAGAATACCTTTATTATAAGAACTGTTGACAGGAGATGACTTTCCATGGTCAAGTAAAAATCCCAAAATGGTTTGGAGTACTGTAAAACCGGTGTACTACTACTATCAGTGCATTCGGAACGTATTCAGACCCCTTGACCTTTTCCACATTTTGTTACGCTACAGCCTTATTCTAAAATGGATTCAATTGTTTTTTCCCCCTCATCAATCTACACACAATACCCTATAATGACAAAGCAAAAATATGTTTTAGAAATGTTTGCACATTTATTACAAATAAAAAACTGAAATATATACATTTACATAAGTATTCAGACCCTTTACTCAGTACTTTGTTGAAGCACCTTTGGCAGCGATTACAGCCTGGAGTCTTCTTGGGAATGACGCTATAAGCTTGGCACACCTGTATTTGGGGTGTTTCTCCCATTCTTCTCTGCAGATCCTCTCAAGCTCTGTCAAGTTGGATGGGGAGCGTCGCTGCACAGCTATTTTCAGGTCTCTACAGAGATGTTAGATCGGGTTCAAATCTGGGCTCTGGCTGGGCCACTCAAGGACATTCAGATACTTGTCCTGAAGCCACTCCTGCGTTGTCTTGGCTGTGTGCTTAGGGCCGTTGTCCTGTTGGAAGGTGAACCTTCACCCCAGTCTGAGGTCCTGAGTGCTCTGGAGCAGGTTTTCATCAAGGATCTCTCTGTACTTTGCTCCGTTCATCTTTCTTTTGATCCTGACTAGTCTCTCAGTCCCTGCCGCTGAAAAACATCCCCACAGCATGATGCTGCCACCACCATGATTCACCATAGAGATGGTGCCAGGTTTCCTCCAGACGTGATGCTTGGCATTCACGCCAAATAGTTAAATCTTGGTTTCTCATGGTCTGAGAGTCCTTTAGGTGCCTTTTGGCAAACTCCAAGCGGGCTGTCATGTGCCTTTTACTGAGGAGTGTCTTCCGTCTGACCACTCTACCGTAAAGGCCTGATTGGTGGAGTGCTGCAGAGATGGTTGTCCTTCTGGAAGGTTCTCCCATCTCCACAGAGGAACTCTGGAGCTCTGTCAGAGAGACCATCGGGTTCTTGGTCACCTCCCTGACCAAGACCCTTCTCCCCCGATTGCTCAGTTTGACCGGGCGGCCAGCTCTAGGAAGAGTCTTTGTGGTTCCAAACTGGAGGCCACTGTGTTCTTGGGGACCTTCAATGCTGCAGACATTTTTTGGTACCCTTCCCCAGATCTGTGCCTCAACACAATCCTGTCTCGGAGCTCTACGGACAATTCCTTCGACCTCATGGCTTGTTTTTTGCTCTGACATGCACTGTCAACTGTGGGACCTTATATAGACAGGTGTGTGCCTTTCCAAATCATGAACAAATCAATTGAATTTACCACAGGTGGACTCCAATGAAGTTGTAGAAACATCTCAATGATGATCATTGGAAACAGGATGCACCTGAGCTCAATTTCGAATCTCATAGCAAAGGGTCTGAATACTTATGTAAATAAGGTATTTCTGTTTTTCATTTGTTTTTTCGCTTTGTCATTATGGGGTTTTGTGTGTAGATTGATGAGGAAAATATTAATTTAATCCATTTTAGAATAAGGCTGTAACGTAACGAAATGTGAAAAAAGTAAAGGGGTCTGAATACTTTCCAAATGCACTGTACACACACACACACACACACACACACACACACACACACATACATGCACACAGCGTATCTCGTTGCATTAGTTTGATACCTTGCATTACGTCCAGTTTCCTCATCCTCTATATTCCCTCTGTTCCCTGCTCCCAGCTGATGAGTGCTGTGAAGAAGGGCCAGGTGTCTGACAGCAGGTTGGCCATCCTCATGAAGACAGCTGAGGAGAGCCTGGACCTGAGGGCACCTGTGTCTGTGGACCGCAGTGGAGGAGGGGTGTGAGGGGAACCCATCCGCACCGTACCACCACACCGTACCACCACAACGTACCACTACACCGTACCACCACAACGTACCACCACCACTACACCGTACCACCACAACGTACCACTACACCGTACCACCACAACGTACCACTACACCGTACCACCACACTAACCAGAGCTGTGGTACTAAGGATGACAGGGATGGCAGGGATGGATGGAAGGGATGCCAAGAAGAAGACTGCCTGGACCTGGTGTCATTATGGTTCAACGTTGCAGTGATAGGGAGAAGTCATAGGGTGATAAGTATTGTAAACAACAAGAGTACAAATTAGATTTTTATCCTCATTTAAAGATTCATATGTGTCATCCCTGAGTGTTTTATTGTGAAGTTGAGGCTAGATAAGGGCGGCAGATAGCCTAGCGGTTAAGAGCGTTGGGCCAGTAACCGAAAGGTCAGTGTGCCCTTGAGCAAGGCACTTTACCCTAATTGCTCCTGTAAGTCGCGCTGGATAAGAGCGTCTGCTAAATTACTAAAATGTAAATGTAAAATGTAGTTTGATGTTAGACATTTTTTATAATAATTTTTTTAATTCATATTTTCATGGAGGGAGACAAGGGAGTATGTGGCCAGTTTTCCATGACACTGGATTCTCACTACTACAAAGTCAATGGGTTTGACAATCAGTGCCTCTGAATAATTCTGTAACTCACTGTTCATACTGTTTTTATAATCTCATCATTGCTTCGCCTTTTATGCTCCAGTTATATGGCTTTGTAATATATTTTTTATTGTTCAGTCTTATTGATGATATCGGTGATTTATGGATGTCCACATTTCACTGGAACTGTACTTTGGACGTGGTTCTTATGCCAGTTCACCAGTACAAGAACCAGTTCCGCCTCTTAGTGGACAACTGGCATTACAGTACCATGCAGTTTATTCATACTCAAGCTTAACGTTTCCACCTCTTCGTTTGTGACTTCAGCATGTTACTGTAACTTTAACTCACTGTTCCTCGCTGCAGTGCCATTGTATAATTAAGCAATAAGGCCCAAGGGGGTGTGGTATTTGGCCAATGTACCACGGCTAAGGGCTGTTCTTAGGCACGACGCAACGCGAAGTGCCTGGATACAGCCCTTAGCCGTGGTATATTGGCCATATACCACAAACCCCGAGGTGCCTTATTGCTATTATAAACTGGTTACCAACATAATTAGAGCAGTACAAATAAATCTTTATCATACCCATGGTATACAGTCTGATATACCATGGCTGTGAGCCAATCAGCATTCAGGGCTCGAACTACCCAGTTTATAATGGCCAATATACCACTGCTAAGGGCTGTTAGTCACGACGCGAAGCGGAGTGCCTGGATACAGCCCTTAGCCGTGGTATATTGGCTATATACTGTACCTCAAAACCCTGAGGTGCCTTATTGCTATTATAAACTGGTTAAGTTACCAACATAAATAAAACACTGAACATGGTTTTTTGCATCATACCCGTGGTATATTGTCTGATATACACACAGCTGATATGCTGTTTCGGCCAATCAGCACACAGGACCAAACTCGGTTTATAATAAGGCTTTTTTCCTGGCACACCGGTGCCAGAGATATTTCTATATCTGCTGCCTGCTAGCATACACTGGTCTGTCTAATGCACCTTCAGTAACTGACTCCAGCTTTATCCTTACTGTTTTTAAAATCATGGCAGAATGAATGCTTTTTTACTACTGCTGTTATTGCTACGTCATTATATATATTTTTTAATTAAAGATATTTATTCATTTTAATATTATTCACTCTTACCATCTTCCAATGAGGTGAACTTGATAAGATAGTTAGAGGAATGAGTGGTGATGAGATAGGATTAAAGGCACAATTTGGAACTTTAATTTCCAGTCAAATGTGCTGCCGCTGCATTTGTTTGTAAACTGGAGTTAACCAGTTACATTTGCAGAAAGTTACAAATTGTGCCTTTGAGTATTGTATGGAAATTTATTTTTTCTCTGTCTGCAGTGCACCTGAGCTTGTATTTTTACTATTACTAAGTTAATACTTGCAGTTCTGCTGATTATTTACAGTTTTATAGAGTGAAGCAGTTGAAGGGGAATGTATGATCTGTGCCTTGCTTTCAAACACGGTATGACGTCATATGAATTGAGCCTATTCCAACTCATTCCTCTATATTTGACATATTTTAACTGTCTTAATGTTGCAGTTATTATAAAGCATGTAAAGATACATATTCTAGAAAATCTTTAAAGGAAATGTGTATTTTACGAAAGGATAAAAGGAACGTTTACATTTTTGATGGTGTTCTGAATGTTTCTTAATATTGGTCTTCTTAGCATGCGTGTGTTGTTGTTTTGTCTAAAAAGGCTGAGAAAATCATTGCAGAGGTTTCCGCTGTGTACTGTTACTGTAACTGAATCCAACCATGTGTATCAGTTTTTTGTCACATGGGAGTTTTCAGTACAATCCCTTGACAGCCAGGGCCAACCTTGTCTATGTTTGCTTGTGTCTGCTTGGATGAAATTCCAGCCTTATCCAGATTGAAAGAGATTCATATTCCTAGATTCATATTCCTCTATTTTCAACAAACACTGTAAGTCGATCTCAAAAGCTTTTCCGAGATACACTGCGATTATCTAATTAAATGTATCTGGTTGCTAACATAACATTGTTTTCTTGTGTGTTTTCACGGCAAACCCTTGTTTAAAAAAAAATCCTGCTTACTGCCATTCAGACTTCTGAGCATAATAAGCTTGCATGAGAATTCTCCCATATCGGGAACTTAGTAGTATGATGAAAAATAATAAGCAAACGGCTGCATGTTGAACTGTACTCAGCCTGAGGTGTACTACACATAGCATTGAGATCATTATTACCTACATTATAACCACTGAACTGTAACAAACAGGGCCAAATCACTTGCACTAAATCTATTCATATGGCAGCCTTCCATGGAGCAGGTTCTGATGAGCAGTCAACATACAGTACTGTATATATGAGAGATGACACCTGTGTATAGCATCACTATGAAGCTACAGGTATGGAAGACACCGGTCAGAGTGAAGCATATAGGGCTTAGATGATCCTGCAATAGGGAAGGATAGATTTATCGATCACTGGTACAGATAAGCTGCTCTACACTGGGTGCAGGACCTCATCATTTGGCCACATACAACCTAATCTTCTCCAAGAGGAATGTCATGTATAGATTTAGTTAGCCAGCTATAATAACCCCACAACCAGCTGAAACCACCTCCGTCATTCAGTTCAGTCTGATTGCCTCAAGCAAATTGGTTTAAACCGCAAATCCATCTAAAGCTTTTGGATATCTGTTATAGTTTCATTGGGGCTGATTTCATTCATTTGAACAGGGAACAAGTGGCTGTGGCTCGCTCTGCATAAAGGGCCCTTAATATCCCTGGCCCCCTGTCACCCAGCCCAGTGTTAATCCATGGGACTCTCTCCTGCACCAGGGGAATAGGTAATGGGTATTCCTAGGTGATCAGCAGACGGTATAATGCAATTAAGCAACCTGGGGCTGTTGGACGAGGAGCTCTAATCCTGAACTAATTTGAACTGCAGTTTGATAGCAAGCGCTGTGATCCTGGAATAATCATGTGGGCTGCTAATGAAACTGGGTGGGCAGACCAGGCGGATAGAGGTCCTCAGCTCTGAACACTCGCCATGTGTCGGGGAGAGTGGGGAGACAAGATGTCAGGTTGGCCAAAATGGCTCAGACATACAAGCACTAGTATGGAAGGACCACTGCTAGCAGACTTTTGGAACACACACACACACACACACACACACACACACACAAAACCAGGCTTTCCTAAAGGTCAATGTGAGATTTGAATGTCAGGATTTAAGTCCTCTGTTCATATTACTTGGTGTGTTTGCAGTGGAAGTCTATGAGATCCATCCAGCGCCACTCTTAAAGAGCCTTGCGTGAGCGAGGCCAGAGGCAATTACAGTAATTGTAATGAATAATCAGACAAATCTTCTTGCCATTATGACCACTAACGTTCTCCATTTCTGGAGGCAGCAAGTCGTCAGCAGCGTGATTAGAGAAGGGCAGAATAGACCTACAAATGTCTGACTGACTGGTGTGCACCGTGATGTCTGACTGACTGGTGTGCACCGTGATGTCTGACTGACTGGTGTGCACCGTGATGTCTGACTGACTGGTGTGCACCATGATGTCTGACTGACTGGTGTGCACCGTGATGTCTGATTGACTGGTGTGCACCGTGATGTCTGATTGACTGGTGTGCACCGTGATGTCTGACTGACTGGTGTGCACCGTGATGTCTGATTGACTGGTGTGCACCGTGATGTCTGATTGACTGGTGTGCACCGTGATGTCTGATTGACTGGTGTGCACCGTGATGTCTGACTGACTGGTGTGCACTGTGATGTCTTACTGACTGGTGTGCACCGTGATGTCTGATTGACTGGTGTGCACCGTGATGTCTGACTGACTGGTGTGCACCGTGATGTCTGACTGACTGGTGTGCACCGTGATGTCTGACTGACTAGTGTGCACCGTGATGTCTGACTGACTGGTGTACACCGTGATGTCTGACTGACTGGTGTGCACTGTGATGTCTGACTGACTGGTGTGCACTGTGATGTCTGACTGACTGGTGTACACTGTGATGTCTGACTGACTGGTGTGCACCACGATGTCTGACTGACTGGTGTGCACCGTGATGTCTGACTGACTGGTGTACACCGTGATGTCTGACTGACTGGTGTGCACTGTGATGTCTGACTGACTGGTGTGCACCACGATGTCTGACTGACTGGTGTGCACCGTGATGTCTGACTGACTGGTGTGCACCGTGATGTCTGACTGACTGGTGTACACTGTGATGTCTGACTGACTGGTGTACACTGTGATGTCTGACTGACTGGTGTGCACAGTGATGTCTGACTGACTGCTGCACACTACTAGAAAAGGGCATTAGGGAATGGCTGCAGGAATTCAACAGTGCTGCTTTATCGGCTTCTCTGCATCTGTGCAGTATATTTTTTGTGTCTTCTCTATAGCAGACTACTACAGCTGCAGATTCAGGACAATATTACATAATCATACTG